ATCCCCAATATATGATTATTAACCTTGCTTACATTTTTTTTTTCAAAAGTAAAATCGTACATCACTGAAATCTAGAAAACTATTTAAAATACACACATATTTAGAAGATTTGGGGGATACGGCATTCAATTGCAAATATTCCAGGTAGCAAAATGGCAGATTTGGGGAAATCCTAAAAATTTTCAATATACCATTATCTCAGTGGAACAGCGCTTGAGATCTATGATTAACCTGGACAGTTTAGACATAATTGCAAGGCATCTCTCTTTATGGATACATAGATTAGGGAGAGTTAGGCACACCTAAGTTTACATTAGATTACAGTCTTCTTTGCTTTTTACTTGAAATAACCCTAAATTGGGAAATACTGCCATGTATGCATGCATTGGATTAAATTAGCATGACTGAATTATCTGAAGGCTGTAAACCGAAATGTAAGAAACTTTTGCCCTTGAAATTCTTTTGACACAGGAATTTCAAAAACACAGAAACAAACCTTAAGTGCAAGCCTTAAATAATTGAAGAAAGAAAACCCCAAAACAGCCCCTTTGTGACCTTAGACTCCCTCAAAATAATAGTAATGGCTCTTGGCCATGGAAAATTTGCTTATCCCTTCAGTAAACGATGGGATGGTCGTATGCATTTAACTTGTTTTTTCAGTTTTGCATGAATACCCATTCAATATTTTATATTTAGTATTTACTTTTTATTAAATTTGCTGCCATCTTGCTGCATTGATGGGGTTAATGTAGTGACTTTTAATTGGATTAGATTTATTCTGTTGAACACAATGGAACGTATTTCCAAAGAAGCTTGTGATGAACCAATTGCTTGGCTCAACTAGCCATGTGTTCTCTTTCCCAAATCAGTTAGGGAAACAAGGACTTCTCTCTGGGAACGTGTGTGTTCATGCTGCCCTACTGTATTAATAATGCTCATTTTAATCATATCCAGTTATTTAAGGGAACATGTTCTCACTGACTGTCCTCTCAGTGGAAGACGATATTACTTATTGCATAGCTAAAGCAATCTCTGTATTTAGTACAATATCATATCACTTCTGGAACGATGCTAAGAGAGTTAAATTAAGTGTCTACAAGATATAGGTCATGACAGCTGAACATGCTTATCGCTATGAAATTTACAAGGGCTATGTTAGTAAAATGAAAAGGTAAAGGTTTGCCCTGTCCAGTTCTTTCCAATTCTAGTGGGCAATGCTCATCTCTGTTTCCTAGCCAAGAAAGCCAGCATTGTCTGCAGTGGTCATGTGGCCAGTGTTACTATACTCCAGGGTGCATGGAACACTGTGTGTTCTCTTGTATTGAACTTAATTTCTGGTGACTACATAAATGCATACGTCATTTTCTTTACAACAGTATAGAAGTGATGTGCCTTGCATCTGGAGAATTTTTCTTTTTTCTTTCTTTGCTTTCCATGCCAGCCTTCATCCTACTTCCACATTGTCTCCAAGTAACAAACTACATCTAATCCAGGGTGTGTCTGTGCTTTTTCCCCAAATTTATCAACTGCATCAGGTTAATTCCAAAAGTAATAATTGAGTATTGATAGAAATCAATGCACTTACACTACCTGAACTGATGTAGAAAAAAACCTAAAGTAAGGTGCTGATTAGTGCTGGCATGAGGGGGGCCTTCTCTGTGGGGCACCTGCCATCTGGAACGAGCTCCCCCCGGAGATACGGAGGATCCAAGACTTACGCATCTTCTGCCACGCCCTAAAAACGTTTTTATTCCAACAGGCTGGTCTGGCCTAACTCTCCCTTTTAAATTGGGTTTTAAATGTTTTTTAGATAAATTGGATGTCTTAATTTGTTTTTTGAGCCTAAATTATTTAATCTGTTTTTAATAGTTTTTAACTTTTGTATGTCTTTATATTTTATTTTGGCTGTTCACCGCCCTGAGTCCTTCGGGAGTAGGGCGGTATACAAATATGATAAAATAAAATAAATAAAATAATGAGACATCACCAAGAAATTTTAGGACTGTAGGTTAGATTGGGAAGTTAAAAAAAAAACTGAGAAGGAAGGACAAATGAATGTCTGCATGAAATCAGTAGGAGCCACGCACAATTCAAAGGAGGTTTTTCATTCAATTGTGTTATCGAGATAAAATAGAAATTTTATCTAGAATGTAAATTCAGTAAATACTGCTTTCCATGGCACTTAATTCCAAGGACATCTTTTAAAAATATGAGCATGTACCTTTTCTTGGCTCTTTGCAGAAGAGAGCTTGTTTGTATTCTCATAGTACAGTCAAGGCAGGCAAGTTTGCAGCAAACCAGTTTATTTTTAGATTCTGCCTTGCCATTTATATCCTGCACAATTATTCACAGCTTCAGGTGACAGGCTATTTATTTGTATAAATACGTCAGAGCAGGGCTTTCCTCCCCCCCATTTTGATCTTTCATGTGCAGCATAAGGCAGATGGGAATTAATTTTAGATTACAAGTGAAGAATTTTCAGCTCGAAGCCAATTACTCTCTTGCTGTTCATTCATATTCTGCAGCCAACACATTCCTGCTTACTGGTGCTCTATAATATTTATTATACAAAGCTGATGCCGGAGGGGACAGCAAAATGACAACAGAGCTTAGCAGGAACTCCTAGCTAGTTATCAGTGGAGATGGATTGACAATGATAATGTATAGTTCAAGGAAATGCTATTTTCAAATCATCCCTTTGAAGTATCCATTGACTTGACGAATGGTCATTCCCACACCATCTTTACCTTGGGTCTGAGATGAGCTGCTTATTGTTTATTGAGGATAGGTCCTTACAACATAGTCTCCATTTTAATGCCAGCCTGGGACAAAGGCAGGATGAAACAAGATCAAATTTAAAGCCTGCTTTGAGATCATCCCATCTCCTTTCCATCCCCAAGGTTCTGTGCCTCCATGGCTATTTCTTCTTTGGCTGATGAGTAGATTACCCAGCAGTCATTTATTAGGAGGGGAGTGTGGGGATCAGGGAATATCAATTTATGGATGCCCTCCATGAGGCTGGTATTATCTCTACCCACAGACCATTTTTTTTTTCATCTCCTTGCTGCTTTCCCCTTTATCGCATTGTCCTGATCATCTGTGATTGCTGGAGAGCACGGCCACTACTTCCAACAACAATCCTTGGATGGACCTACTTGACTTGGGTCCAACTTGCTGCTGCTTATTGGAGCCAGCAACCGTGTTTCTTGGTGGAAAACCAATATCCAAGCTTGGTGGGGAATGAAGCAGGCAGCAAGAATCCCCAATAGCAGCAACAGCAACCATGTAAGGGCAGTATAGTTACCCCATAACTCAAAAATGGGTGGAAACTCATCTCTAGGAGCAGGAAGAAGAATCCTAAGACTAGTCTCTCTAAACGTATCTCCCAGAAGACACTAACCCTAACATACATTTATCATCTTTGGAAATTATTAGAAAGAATAATAATTATCAGAAATTATTGTTAATTATTAGAAAGAATAAGGGAAATTATTAGAGGAATCTTCAATGAGAAATCAACCTGCAAGTGCAATTTCTGATATGATGTAGTCCCCTCACAGAAGACAATTGTATATATACATTCTAATCAAAATTAGGCTCAAAAAGATTACTTATCACAAGGGTGACTTTGATTGTAGTGTGCTTATAAATACAGTTCCCTAATGTACATTCTGAAATGGCACATCCCAAGAGACATCAGTTCTGTATCAGAAATAGCACACTGTAAATTTGGCTGCAGATACTACGTGCACTTAAAGTAACAGAATGGAGTCATATTATATAAACATTATTATACCTGGACTGAAGCCAGATGCTAATTTTATATAATATGCAAGTATTTTACTTGTAAGGGCCACCAAGTCACAGATAGCAATAGTTCTATACCTTTGATCCAGTATCATCAAATATCCAATGTTTTTGTTTTCTAAAATGAGAGTTTAAATAGTGGGACTTGGTTGTCTGCCAACACTTCTCTAGAAAACCTTGTGAATATTTCTGCGGACTTGTTTTGATGCTACATATTCTAAGTAGAAAACAATGAAAAAATGTTTGTTACCACAGCTAATCACAGTATCTATCTTTACCCCATCATACATATTCTGCATCTTGTTTAGAAGAGGAAAATAAAGGTCATGAGGATGACTTGGCTAGAATAGGAATGCGTGCATGTCCTTCTGCACATTCAGAATCTGATGAAGAACAGCAGGGAATATACAGAACAACTAAAAAAAGCATTTGCCTCCTAAGTTTATACAGCATGGGATTGTTATGCTTTGTTTTGCTCATGTCCTTTACTATGAATAACTGTTCCCTGCAGCTTAGGACCAAAAAAAGTTTGAAAAACAAAACCTACTGAAAAAAAATCTGGACCTTATAAACTAGGGAGATATTATATCTTTATTATTTTGTCTAAAATAGCCTGTACCCATAATGAACTTTTTTTGTTATGGCCATAATGAATAACTTTCTTTTCAAATGTGCAACCCAACATGATAAAGTTCAATCAGTCTGCCTGCAAAGCAGGTTTTATTATTATGGAAAAATTCAGGAGATTGCTAACTAGCAGGCAATTAACCTATAGACTATGCTTGAATCAACAGGTTGCAAAGGACCCTTACTCATGACCTAACTTTAGAAAGATTGATAGTGCATGCCTGCTATTGGGGAGGAGAGTTGGAAGGTCAGGAGCCCTAGGTGACACAATGGAGAGAGGTCAGGGATGAAGGAGCAGTGAACAGAGCAATGATATAGGGAAAAAGCAGCAGTACAGCCCGAGGAAAATTTAGACGAGAGTTTGGGAAGTGGAAGGGTATGAATTGAGAACTTTGGAGATGTCAAGAGAGCAGAAAGTACCGGAATATAGTTATTATATAGTTATTAAATAATAACTATATAACTTATATAGTTATTATATTCATCATTATAATAATGAATTATAGAATGGGTTGGTAATGATGGTCAGAACATTCTGTCAACTCAATTACACATTGAAAAACAAATAGCAATTTCTTTTTTATTATTTTTAGGAAAGAAATTTTAAAAATTTATGAAACAATCCTGATAAGGCACACTGACCCATCATCATTGTCATTTACTATCAAAGTGCTAAGACAAACAATTGAATCTTAGATTATTTTCTCTTTCTCTTCCTGCTGTTGGATAAAAATCATCTTAATTTATTCTAAAAACAATTTAAGAAACAACCAGTATTCTTCAATAAGTATTAATTTGCAAATCCTTATTTAAGGTCCATTTCTTTTCATGTGATGGTACATTTTCCACTTTTCTATAATGCAGCTATCTAAATTAGGATTTTGCCTATTCACGTGACAATCCTACCATAGAAGTTTTAAACAATCAATTTATAGCAAAATTTATTATAGAACAGCATTTCTAAGTGTGAATGATGTTATTTTGTTTCAGGACTGATGAGAGAACAATGGATTTTTTTATTTCAGATATGAATCCAAGCTATAAAAAGAAACAGATTTAGAACATAGTAATCTCAAGGTGGAGTGCCTTAAACTATTACAGAATTTAAGATTTTATGTTAACTGTGAAGATTTCCAGATCAATATAAATGTAACAATGTCAGCCTGCTAATAATCCTGAATGGATTCAGAACCTCACGTCCCATTTCCCTTGTGTGTGTGAATGCTTTAATTTACCATTAATATTTAAAACTTTGGAAGCGGCACCCAAGATTGGAAGGCCACAGCTTCTGCATACTTGCTTTAAATTAGATGTGGTGATTTGTAGCCAATAAACGTGTGTGTGCTAAGATCCATTTCTGCAACTTCTGGAGTCTAGCAATACTTTGCCACCTTTCAGCAAAAAGTTAACGATTTTTGCTGATGTGATACTTTTTTTGCTTTTTGTTTGTATAGCCAACCCACCGCATAAAATAGATTCGTTAAACATACATTACGTATTTTTAACTAAAAAAGTGCTTTTTGCCCTCCCCTTCTGTTAATAGTTCTACATCAGTTTCATGCCTTCTTGATCCCAAAGACAAAGAATGCATACTCCCTAACTGAAAAACATTCTTAACTACACTTTAAATCCCAGTTAAAAGATAGTATTTTGTACAATTCATTGTAGTTAATTAATGTCAGCCATAACAATTCATGTCTGACAGGAGAAGAACTACAGGGAAGAGATGGCTCTAGGGCAGTGGTTCTCAATCTGTGAGTTGCAACCCCTTTGGGGGTCGAACGACCCTTTCACAGGGGTCACCTAAGACCATCAGAAAACACATATTTATTTAATTGTATTTTAATGGTTTTTTAACATTTGTATTATATGTATTTTATCTTTTGGCTGTTCACCACCCTGAGTCCTTCGGGAGTAGGGCGGTATACAAATTCAATAAATAATAATAGTAATAACAATAATAATAATATTTTCAATGGTCTTAGGAATAATTTTATGGTTGGGGGTCACCACAACATGAGGAACTGTATTAAAGGGTTGCGGCATTAGGAAGGTTGAGAACCACTGCTCTAGGGTCTCCTCCTGATCCCTTCAACAGTGAAGAGACAGGAAATGTGACATGTCTTCTGGCCTTGAGAATCCTCGACTTAATTAATAAATCTTCTCACAATGAGATCCATGACTTTCTTTACCTGTGTAAGAATACATTTAAACCTGCTTCTAATTTTTTAAAAAATTACTTTGCAAAATGTGTAATTTAGATCCAAGTTAGCTGCATTCTGGGTTTCAGCTAAAGGCATGACAATTCTTTGAAAACAATCTGTTAAGATGAAAAAAAAAACCCTTCAGAAAAATATGAAATAGCTTAAGAGACAAGTCTACTCATTTAAAAAAAAAGATAATACAAAAGTTAGAGATTGCAGAAATGCCAACCCCTTCCTAGTTGCGCCCTATCCATCATAATTATGAGAAGGCTGAAAAGAAATAAATGGTTTCCTAGTAGATAGAAAAAAATATCAATAAGTAATTTAAAAGACAAAATTGATTGATAGCCTCTGGAAGAATGCACCAATGCTATTTCTTCCCCACTAACTTGCTGAAAACATCATAGACTTCTGGTTTCTCTTGTGCAAACTGCTCCACTGTATTTTTCTGCAACCAATCAGATGAGCGCATTTGTTGCTGAAGGAGACCAATTAGATCGCCAAGGGAGGAACTCCCGGAGGAAGTTGGTTCCTGGTGGTGAGACACAAAGATCACTTCATCTGTGCTGTCTACTGTGCCTTCTGATTCAGACAGACACAACGGATCTTTGTCTTCATTCAGGATTTCACGTTCTTGTTCTTCTAGTACTTCACAGATTCTCTGCATCCCTGGAAAAATGGGTGGGGGTGGGTGGGAAGTAAATACGGGAAATAGATAGGATGAAATAAAAATTGGATGCAGATATTTGAAAATACCTTAATAAGAGTAAAAACATAGCCACCATCAGATTTTTCCTTTGAGCTAAATCAATAACCCAGACAATGAATTTACACTGGATACCATGAAAATCTACACCTGCCACCAACTCTCTCTTTTCTAGTATATACTTACAAATGAACCATTCCAGGATTTTTCAGTTCGTTTAAGTGTTTCAAAATGTATTCAAACCAGCTAAATAAAATAGGACTTATTACTTCCCAAAGAAGTGTCCATGACTTGAGGGTCACTTACTCCTACTTCTCTGATTCTAGAATATCCATCTGTCTTCAATTGGTTTAAAAAATAAAGACAATAAAATCAGAATGCAAAGAAGAGCTAGGATGGTAAAACTAAGGAGGAAAGAATGGTATATACAACATTTGGCCAACCAACTTGAATACTGTCCATCAATTGTGTGCACATCTAATTCTATCTAGCATTTGATTGTTAATTCCATTTGCCCAGGACTGCAACATCCTATCTTAAGTGGTAGAAGTTGGATCATCTATTGGGCTAAACTTGGATACAATATAGATGAGGAAAACACTAACCAAGCCGCAGTCGATTTATCTTATCAGCAAAGATAATGCGAAACCAGCCAGGCTCATTGCACTCAAATGAGATACCAGGAGAGAGTAAGATCTTTTTGTCCAGGAAGCGTTTCCACAGTAGCATCTCCTCTTCAAATGTTCTTTTTCTTAAATACTGGAATCAGTTGAGAAGAGAGTAAACGAATAAAAAAGCCAGTTTTATAGTCCTATAAAAAGTAATTGCATCATTCTCTCTCAAACTGCAGAAAATTTAACCCACACAGGATGGATAGACAATCTGTGTCATCAGATGTGGCAAAATTATAACTCTAGCAGCCCCAGCCAATGATGAGACATGATGAGGTCTGTAGTTCAGCAATCTTTGTAGACCAGTTTCCCTATCTCTACCCTAAAGACTAAGGATAGACTGAGAACCGAGCAAAAAAGTAAAATCTCATATCCAAACAGCAATCAAAAAAGATGTTTATGATGTGTGTATATGTGAAGATGCAAATACCGGTATGTACGTAACGCATGTACACATAAAACACACTCACAATGATGCGTATATTTCAGCCCTCCCAAACTTGGGCTCTCCAAATGTGTCAGATACTTAAATCCTACATTTTTAAATATGTGTATTTGAGCTACCATTATTTTTTTCCATTAAAAAAAAAAAGATATTGACTTGATTTCTGTTAGTCCTTTCCTGAGACCAAGAAGAGAATTTCTGGTCTATCCAATCTATCCATTCTGTTTCTCACAAAGATCAATCAAACTAGATTGTAAAGATATTTTTGGGGTTTTTTTTGTCAAGATAAACTAAGTGGAATTTGAAATTCTAGATACAAACTATAGAGAAGATCAGTTGCCTTCATACCCTACTTGTAAAAAGAACCATCTGTTTTTCTTCTGGCAAATAGATACAGGGCATCTAAAGACCACTGACCTTTCGAAAGTCTATCCATATAAAAAAACCTGCACTGCGGTTGAGGAAGGGAATGCCAAGGGTCTTGAGTTCATCTGTTATAAAAGTGTGTGAAGCTTTCAGTCTCTCATGGTTGGTGCGTAAATATACTTGGTTGATCCAATCTAGCCAAGAGTAGAAAGACACTTAGCAAAGACATAAATATGCATTATTACTTAATTTTTAAAAGCCTGATAGATCAATGGATGGATGGACTCCATTGAGAATACTGCCCTTTATGTAAAATAAGGCAACATTCATGTTCCACCTGATGCATTTGATACGTGATCATTCATTTGTAGACATCATTTGTCACTGACACTGGACAAGAATGTGTATATGTAAATTAGGCCATAGCGAAAACAATGGTCAAGAATTTCCAAGGCTATATATTTGATGTGCTTGAGTGTGACCACACATAAGTTTAAGGTTGTTTTTTTTTTAAATCCCAAATTTGTTGAACTGGCAATCACCTTCAAAATACTTCCTGAAATTCTAGGATACAACTCAAAATTATGTGGCAGATATATATTTATAAAAATAAAATAAAATAGGAACACCCGTAGCAAAAGTCTCTCCTCAAGAGGAGCAATGAATATAGATGATCTCATGTTACTCACCTCTGTCTCTGAGTAGCTGGGCAATTTGGTATTGTATAGGCCCACAGATACAATGAAAGTAACTAAAACAAGACACAGCTTTGATAACATCTTGGTTTGGTGTGTACAAGGCAGCAAGCCGGATTCCAGACATAGCAAAATCCTGTAAATGAAGAGAAGCATTACCAATCCAGCTTCCATAATATAAGTACTGTAAATATTTTGATTCAACCAACATTCATAGTCTAAGAATTTAAGGGAGCATCACCTAAATAATAGTAGAATAATACTTACCTTACTAACCCCCCACAACACATGGGTCCTTTGTGGATCAGGCAATCTGTATGTAAGAAGAATATTTATATGAATATTTTCAATTAATAATTGAGACTTCTTGATCAACCTTTTCCACTCTGGTGCTTTCTAAATATATTTGACTACCACTCCCAAAATTCCCAGAGAAGTCATGGGACTTCCAAACTTCCCATTTGGAGTCATGGGAGTTATAAGAGCCCTGGTGGCGCAGCAGACTAAAGCACTGTTATTAACATCAGCTGCCTGCAATTACTGCAAGTTCAAATCTCACCAGGCTCAAGGTTGATTCAGCCTTCCCTCCTTTCTAAGGTGGGTAAAATGAGGACCCGGATTGTGGGGGCAATAAGCTGACTTTGTATAAAATATACAAAAGTATGAAGGCTATTGCTTAACGCATTATAAGCCGCCCTGAGTCTCCGGAGAAGGGTGGCATATAAATAAATAAATAAATAAAAAAAAAGTAAAGCACATCTCAAGGCATTAAATTAGGAAAGGTTGTTCTTGACCATTAACTCAGAATGCCAAAACAACAAAGAACATGATTAATAATTATTGATATTGTTAATAGAAACTTTGTCCCATAGGGTCAAATGAATCACCTGTTAACTTTGTGAATATGGAAAAAGTGGAGAAACCGAACTTTTAAATGTCAACAATACCCCCCCACCCCACTCTTTACTGGAAGCGAAAGCAGACGCTTCGAAGATAAAGTTTCTGTCAGGACTATGTCAAGATACAAATGATTAAATTTTCCCATTACTTGATCCATTCATCAACAGCAGTTTCATAAATTCCATCTATTGTAGCTTAGCAGTCCAACCCCTTCCCCCAAAAAGGGCCCAAGATCTTCTTCCTTCCTTCCTAAAAGCTATGTTTTCCCAAATGTGTTTCAGGAAATAAAGGGGAGCTCAACCTCTTTGCCTCCATACAATTTTCTTAACCACATTACAGAATTTGTCTGCCATTGCCTTCTTCCCAAACAATTGTGTGTGCCTCATCAAAGAGCCTTGGTAGTACAGTGGTCTAAGGCACCCTGTTATTAAGCTGGTTATTAAGACCAGCTGCCTGCAATTACTGCAAGTTCGAATCTCGCCAAGGCTCAAGGTTGACTCAGCCTTCCATCCTTTCTAAGGTAGGTAAATTGAGGACCCAGTTGTGGGGGCAATAAGCTGACTTTGTATAAATATACAAAAGGATGAAGGCTATTGCTGAGCACATTGTAAGCCGCCCTGAGTCTCCGGAGAAGGGCGGCATATAAATCAAATTTTAAAAAAAAAGTATTAATCAGAGCTGACCATGCTTAGCTTCTGAGGTGAGCCAATGTGGCTGCTAGAAAAATGTGAGAACGATATAAAGTGGGAAGTGAAAGAGGTATTCTCTCAGTAGTGCTTTCTAAAATGAGAAAAAAAATTGCATTACAAAGACACTTTCTGAAACCACGAGATATGCTGATGCAGAAACACACATAAAACTACTGTTCTCATTTAGGGAATATAGAATATTTTACTTCAAAAAAACAATTTCCACTTCTGAGCTGGAAAGGGCACTCCTTCCTTCACAGATTGCATTATTTATTTATTTATTTTATTAAATGCATAAGGCTTTAACTCTGTAATGATTTGCTAGCGTTGGTGACCTTTGCTACTAGATGAGTGAAGCTGTAAAACAGACCTTACCTGTCTATTTCCAGGACACTGTGAAATGTGGCAGAATCATCAAAAACTGACAGCATATAGACCTCATCAACAATCACGTGCAGCTCATGTCTAGAACAGAGGAAAAGAGAAGACTTCAGCAGTTGGAAGGAAAATGTCTGGCTCTCATGAAATAGGCAAGAAGTTTGCATTCTTTCACAAACAGTCACTATAATGATTGACTAGAAAAGAACATCCATGATTCTAAGAATGTTTGAGAATAAGAATGGAGTTCAAGCATCAGCTAATCAAGAATACACTCATTGCTAGAAATTACAACACAACCTCAATAGATACAGTACTACAATCTTCCCATAAATGCTTTAATACACAAAGCAGCCCACTGATTAGAGTCTGGCTTAACTCTCCCACTAAAAGTTTATAGAGAAGTAATGTAATGAAATTAATGAAATGGAAGGAAATTAGAAATCCCAGCCTCGATGACTAAACGTCTTTCAGCCTTATCATTGTCTGATAACTGAGTATCTTCTACTTCCTTGAATTCATATTTGTTGCCCTCTTCCAGCACATTTTTTACTTCATTTTTTAGTCTCTCTTTCTCTCCCATGGAAACGAGATATTGCTCTTCAATGGCTCTAGTCCTACTGAGGTGGCTGTTTCAAGATGGTGCCAAATTTTTCACTTCATGGCAGGCACACCATAATAATTAAACAGGCCTGTTTCCTTTTCCATGCTGTTCAAAATCCACACAAAACCCTTGAGGTTATCTGTGAATGCAATGTTACAATAATTAATTCTATTCTTCCTGTTCATCAAATTCAAGTAAAAGCTGATCATAGTCTAAATTTGCATCAATCTACAGTAAAGGCCAGTGAATCTCAGGACCGAGAAACTCTTGGGAGAGCTTAGGATACTATTATTTTTGTATCATCTTCTCTCACATAAACTGCTTCCACTTGAAAATTATGATTTATGATATTTGCATTCCTGGTTCTGGCCAGCAAGTAACAGAAAGGTTTCTAAATACTTTCAAAATCCATAACATAACTGTTTATAATATGAGGAAATGTTTGATGCTAACTGAGGACATATCATATTGAAATTTTGACCCATCAGATTCTCTAAAACATGTAAGATTGTCACACCTTTTTGCAAATTCCAAGTAGTCCTGTAACTCTGAGAGAGAATAGATATCCCCCAAGGGATTTTGTGGATTCAGGAGAATTAAACCCCTTACTTTGATGCCCTATAAAAGAAACAAGAACATTTAAAAGTGCAAATATATGTGTATATGGGAGCTAAACAGATCAATATATCAAATACAGCCTGTCAGGAAACCCACTTATTCTGCAGGAGGTTGATTGTAAAAACCAACTTTTTTTATTATTAAGTGGCTGAAACACGCAGTTTGATTTCACTCTTTAAATGGAACATTGGAACTTATCTGAATGTTCGTTCTATGTGCGCTGCAGGAGAGTCCAAGTAATGGGTTATCTTTGGTCTGGTTGGCCAGAGACTGAGTTGAATTTGCTTAGCTACGCCTCTTCCTCCTGTGAGCTTCAGTGTTTCGACGAAGAGGATCTGGAGATGACGTAGCCATGATGATGGAATTAGATCCCCTGAGCTGGAGGCTGGACCGCTACAAGAACTAGGGAGGGATTAGACTCTCCTGCAGCACACATAGAACGAACATTCGGGTAAGTTCCAATGTTCCTTCTCCTGTGTGCTGCTTGGAGAGTCCAAGCAATGGGATATACCTAAGCTAAATATCCCTAGGGCGGGAGTCCGAGCGGTCCAGGGGCCTTTTGCCGGATAGAACCTGCTGCAGGACTCTTCTGCCAAATGATGCCTTGGCCGAGACAAACGTGTCTAATTTGTAATTCCTGATAAATGTAGTGGGAGAGACCCAAGTGGCTACCCTGCAAATTTCTAGTATGGAAGCTTGTGTATCCCAAGCTGCCGTGGTGGCGGCAATGCGTATTGAATGCGCAGTAATGTGTCCCCGAAGTGGTCTAGCTTGGTGCTCGTAAGCCATTGCGATGCAAGCCTTGAGCACCTCGCAATTGTTGATGGAGTCACTTTCTTTCCCAAGGAATTGGGCTGGAATGATACAAACAGTGATTCAGATCTCCTGAATAATGCAGTCCTGTCTATATACTTGCGGAGCGCCCTACGAATGTCGAGAGTGTGCCAACGTCGTTTCCTGGGATGTGCAGGTTCAGGGCAAAAGTTTGGTAAAATGACCTCCTGTGCCCTGTGGAACCAGGAATTGATTTTGGGCATGGAGGTCAGGTCCAATCGGAGAACTACTCTGTCGGAGTAAAAGAGGCATAAGTCCTTGCGTACCAATAAAGCTGCCATCTCGGAAATTCTTCTAGCTGATGTGATTGCGATCAGAAAGGAGACTTTGAAGGTAAGTATCCTGAGACTGGCGGACCCTAATGGCTCGAAAGGCGAAGACGTGAGCGCTTGCAGGATGAGAGGCAAATCTCAAGATGGGTACCTATGTACAGTAGGAGGACGGAAGTTGGAGACTCCTTTCAGAAAACTTCTCACCCTCGGATGTTGAGAGAGGGTGATTGTGCTCTCGCAATGGAAGATAGTCGCCAGGGCAGCTACCTGCCTGCGGAGTGTGTTGGTAGAAAGTCCCTGCTTAAAACCTGACTGGAGGAAACTCAAAACATCCGGGATAGAGGCTATCGTAGGTGTTATGTGCGATTTGCGACACCAGCGGAAAATGATGATCATGTAACTTCATAGATCCTGGTGGTAGACGGGCAGCGAGAAGCCTAAATGATAGAAATGACTTCACTTGAGAATCTGGATTTCTTCAGGTTTTCTCTCTCAAGTGCCAGACGGCCAGTTGGAGCCATTGTGGCTCGGGATGATGTACGGCTCCCTGGCTGAGGGAAATCCTGTCTGGCGGGATCCTCCAGGGGCGTGATACCTACAGCGACACTAGGTCCGTAAACCACACCCCTATGGGCCAGTGCGGTGCCATTAGTAGAATTTCCTCATCCAGACCCTCAGGAGAGGGGTCGGAGGAAAGGCATATAGGAGTCCCTGAGGCCAGGGCACCTGGAGGGCTTTGGTTGCTTCGATCCCTGGCGTCGGAAAGTGGGAAAAGAACCGTGGTAGCTGAGTGTTCCTTGGAGTGGCAAATAGATCCACACATGGTTGGCCGAACCTGGTCGTCAGTTGGTGGAACAGGTCTGGGTGGAGACACCATTCGGACTGGTTGATGGTTGTTCTGCTCAACCAGTCCGCCTGTTCGTTGTTCATTCCGGAAATATGTTCTGCCTGAAGGGAAAGTAGATGAGGCTCCGCCCAGAGGCCGAGGCTCGCCACTTCGGACATCAGATCCTTGGATCGGGTGCCCAGTTGTCTGTTCATGTGCACCTTGGTGGTGACATTGTCGGTCAACAGCAACACGTGATGGTTCGTCAATGAGTGATGGAAATGGCGCAGAGCTAGGTGGGCAGCTCTCAGCTCCAGCCAGTTGATGTCGTGTAACAGTTCCTGTGGGGACCATCTGCCTTGAGCCATCTGGGAACCCATGTGTGCCCCCCAGTCGAATAGACTGGCATCCGAAGTCAGTGTTAGTCATGGAGGATCTTTGAAAAGACAGCCTTTCTCTAGGGAAGGCGACATCCACCAATCTAGGGATCGGAGGACCTTCGGTGGCACTCTGACTCTTGTCGTGGAATGGCTGTTGCCTGTTCGTTGGCTTGGTAAGAGGAACCATTGCAGGGTTTGAGAATGGAGCCTTGCCCAAGGAACTATGGTGAGGCAGGAGATCATCTTCCCTAACAGCTGGGACAATACTGCCAGGGACACTGACCGGGATGACCTGACCTGCTGTATTATGGCCCGTATGCTGGCCTGACGTTCTGGTGACAGGAAGACCTGACAACTGAGTGAGTCTATGCATGTCCCTAAGTGGAGGATACTGTGGGAGAGAATTAACTGGCTCTTTTCCAGATTTACTGAAAAGCCGTGTATCTGAAGAGTGTGGATTGTCTCTAACAGATCCTGTATTGCTGGCCTGAGGGATGATGATTGAATCAAAATGTCGTCTAAATAGCATTGAAGCCTGATGGGACGAGTTTGAAGACGAGCTGCCACAACATCTAGGAGCTTGGTAAAGATCCTGGGGACAGAGGAGAGACCGAAGGGAAGGGCTCTGTATTGAAAGTGTTGTCCTGCGTAGCAGAATCTGAGATATTTCCTGTGCAAGATCCGAATTGGGATATGCAGGTAGACTTCTTTGAGATCTATTGATGTTAGGATATCTCTCTATCTGATGCAATTCAGTATTGAGGTTAGGGATTGCATCTTGAAGCGCTTGTATTTTATGTGCATATTGAGTTGTTTTAGATCTAATATACCCCTGCTGCCCCCTGATTTCTTCTGGATCAGAAAGAGAATCGAATAGAAGCTGAGACCCCGCTGTTGGACAGGCACTGGTTCTATGGCCTGTATGGACAACAGGTGGTGGATCTCGGCTTCCATCAGAGACCTCTTGGTGGTATCTCTGTGTAGCGTGCAAGAGATGAACCTCCTTGGGGGGTGGGGGGTGGAAGAAAATTCCAAGGTGAGGCCAAGCCTGACTGTTTGCAGAGCCCAGGCATCGGCCGTGGTCAGTTCCCATTGGGTGACGAACATTGTGAGGCAGCCTCCAATGGGAACCCCTAACTGGGAGTCACTTGGACCTGCAGTAGGGTCTACCACTGGCTCCCTGAAAGGGTCTCCTAGACTGAGACTGTCTGGGCCTGTCCCTGAATAAGGCTCTATCCTGGGAGCGATCAGTGGTGGGGGGGTATGTCCTCTGGTAGGTTGGGGCGGGGTAACCGCCTTCAGACCCATGAAAGAACTGCCTGCGATAGAAGGGAGAGTATCTCCTGTCAGTCCTCCTATGTGGAAGGGGAAGCATTTTCCGTTTGTCTTTGGTCTCCACTAGTATGGTGTCTAGAACTTCACTGAAGAGATTGCTACCTTGGAAGGGAGCAGACGCCAACTTCCACTTGGATTTCATATCGGCTTGCCAATGGCGAAGCCATAGTAAGCATCTAGAAGTAACTTTGGACGCCAACGCTCTGGAAGCAAATTTTGCTGCATTAAGTGTTGCATCAGAAGAATATTCTGCTGCAGCTATCAATTTGTTGATGTCCTGATGTAATCTGACATCCCCTGGGGGTGCACGTGCCTGCATTTGGCGTAGCCAAAGGACAGATGTTCTGTTAAAAAAGGAAGCTGCTGTGGCTGATCTAATTGCCCAGGCAGCAGCTTGATGTGTCTTACAAACTGACATCTCCGCTTTCCTATCCTCGGTTTTCAGCCCTTCTGCTGAGTCTGAGGGGAGAATGTTAGATGAGGCCAGATTGGTGAAGAGAGCATCTATTGCTGGTAATTTAAGCATGTCCTCCACTTCCTGCTCTACGGTATACATCTTCTTGTCTAAACCACTGGGATTAGACAAGGACCTAGGTTGGTTCCACTGTTTCCGGATAATGTCTACAAATAATTTGGGAGAAGGAACAACCTCTTGAGTAGTGACTGGTTCAGTGAATAAATGGGCATTGGGATCCTGCTCAGCAGAGCGATCAGATGCCTCAGCTGCAACCCCCAAATTGGCAGTGGTTTTGGCCTTATATAATAAGGTCTTAAACATGTTGGGATTGAAAAGACCAGCGAATGCTGGCTTGTCAGGTGATCTATCTTCATCCTCAGATAGCTCATGCTCCCCAAAGTCTTCCTCCTCCCGAGTGTAAGACATCTCGCTGCCCTGATACTCTTGAGGTGAATGAGGAACCTGGGAATAAACCCTTTCTGGCTGGCCCTGGGGCACGTTGGGTGTGGTGCCACTGGGAGCGGATGCAGGTATGCCCCTCCTGAGCAGGGCTGAATCAATGCCCTGGGCAATGGTCTGGGTAAGGATGTTGCAGAGCTCCTGAGAAAGGACAGGATTTTGGTTCTCCTCAGGGTGGAGCCCTGCCGCTGTAGGAGTGAATGTGGCTGAGGGAGCTGCCTTCCTAGGGGCTGAAGTGGCCACTTGCTCTGAGGTGCCCTGACTAGATAAGGGAATAGCATCCTCTGTATAATTAAGCAATTGAGCTGGAGGATGTATAGGAGGGTCTGGAGACCAAGATATTCTGTCCTCAGGTGATCCTGAAGAGGACAAGCCTTGAGCCAGGGAAATATTAGCCTCTGAATGGCCTGAGTGGGGGCCTGGGCCTGCAGAGGCTTCTGCCCGCTTTCGGGCCTTGGCAAATTGTTTTTCTAAAGCTTTTTGCCTTCGCTCTGCATCTTTATCAGCAGCTGTTGAAGTAGAAGCCTTGGATCCAGTGGAAGGCCCAAACGGTGCACTGATTGTCTTACTTTGATCAGAAGTCATAGTTTTTCTAGAGGCAGAAGATGAGGCTGCAGTATCTTTGGAGTGAGAAGAGCTGCGATCCGCCATCTTGGAATGAATAAGCAGATTCAATTATAGAAGACACTTGAATTGCAGTTTTTTGAATTAAAATATTTCTCTTCACTCCAATTCTAGCAATTAAGGCGCCAAACCGACACTAGTTTGTAAGCGCAATTGCAACTGCTGTAATAAGATTAGGTACGAAACTGATCAAAACAGCCCCTTGCGCAACCACAATGAATCAGCAGTAAACAAAATGACATGGGACAGACATTACAGTCCCCAAGCCACTATCCAATTTCAAGCGCTAAACCAGCAATGCGGTTTATGAGCACTGGAGCCGATCACCAAACTCACGTGGCTCCTTACTTGCCGTACCGACGAAAGGAGAGACCCAAACGATCCTCCGGAGCGGCGGTCCGCTGTTTCCTGCCGCTGATCCTCCTCAAGGGGGCCGAAATTGAGGCCAAAGTGAAGCGCTGCCGCTGCGCTTGCTATAGCGGCAATGGTGATCGGCTCCGGAGTGAATGTTTGCTCTGGAACTAATTGGCTCTACGGAGCAGCTGCCGGCTGCCGCGCAGCGCTGGGGATAGTTTTAGAAATGGTAGAATCAAATTTGAGGCAATTGGTGAAAAAGATGGAATTTTGTAGCTATTTGAATTAGATTTGGAAAGTCCAAGCAATGGAGAGAAATAGAAGCAAGTCTCTTTAGGCTGACTGAGTTAAAACACTGAAGCTCACAGGAGGAAGAGGCGTGGCTAAGCAAATTCACCAGCTGCCTGCAATTACTGCAAGTTCAAATCTCACCAGGCTCAAGGTTGACTCAGCCTTCCATCCTTTCTAAGGTAGGTAAATTGAGGACCCAGATTGTGGGGGCAATAAACTGACTTTGTATAAATATACAAAAGTATGAAGGCTATTGCTTAACGCATTGTAAGCCGCCCTGAGTCTCCGGAGAAGGGCGGCATATAAATAAAAAATAATTCAACTCAGTCTCTGGCCAACCAGACTAAAGATAACCCATTGCTTGGACTCTCCAAGCAGCACACAGGAGAACAGCGCATTCTACAGTGTGGCAATTTTCTTTTTATGCATGATCCTGATGGATTTAAATCCTCCCCCCTCCTCCCTATGTATTAATCTCAAAGAAAAGTAGCTCCACCCTTCCTTAGGAGTGCTTTGGAAAAATAGTGCAAAGAAAGTTGCTATAAGATGAGGTCAGAGAGTCTACTCTTCTAGAAGCTACATCTTTCCAATGTCCCTGATGCCTGCCCCATCCCAGTTAATAAAATCAACTGGGTATGATGAGTTCTCACAAGTATTTTAGAGCTGCAGACTATTTGTAGTTCATTCTAGCCTACTATTTTTTAAAAATAATTATTAAAACAGAACATTAAAAATACATTTAATTGATAAACACACCAAACACAAAAGTCAGAAAGGGTAATAAAATAATACAGGTAATTTAAAACTCTCTAAGTAAATGATCCATACCGAAGGAAAAAAGTATCTTTCTAGTGAACAACAATTCCTTCATTTTCTAGTGGAAAAACAATTATGTTAGAAACACAAATGATAGAAATCTTTGGTAAAGCAAATTTCTTTGTCATATATTCATTTGGAAGTTAGATTAGTAAAAGGGCACTTGTAGGTAGCACTCTGACCTTCATTTCATTCAAAGTTAAACAGGCTTAGGGAAATTACTGGTTGAAGGTAATAACTTTTTTAAAAGGTTTATTCATTCTAAAGGGTTTAAACACAGAACAAGGAAAGTTGCTCCAGATGAGCTCATATTGCATTTGACAACCAATGTTTAGAAAAATAGTTAAGGCTGGCAGACTAGCTTGCCACTGGAATAATCTGGTAAGAATTGAATCAGCAAAGTTCACCTCTGATTGTGCATCCTGCAAGGCTTTCTTTAGCTTATCCACTGTAAGCTGGAATGGACGAGTGCAACTGCCAGTGACCTGAAATATACCAAACAAGAGATTGAATAGTGGCTTTCAGATCCAGCGCGTGCAACACTAATTGTTGCATGTGCTGGATCCGATGCACGGGTGCCGTCGGCCAAACAATGTCGACTGGCGGCCCCCAGGGGGAGAGCCTTCTCTGTGGGGGCACCTACGATCTGGAACGAGCTCCCCCTGGAGATACGGAGGATCCTGGATCTGTGCACCTTCCGTCACGCGCTTAAGACTTTCTTATTTCAACAAGCTGGCCTGGCCTAAATCTTCTCCCCTTTTTAAATGTAAATTTTAATTTGTTTTTAAATTATGGGGTATTTTAAATTTGTCTCAGCCAAATTATTTAATTCATTTTTATTCTATTTTAAATTTTTGTATTTATGTGTTTTATTCTGTGGCTGTTCACCGCCCTGAGTCCTTCGGGAGTAGGGCGGTATAGAAATTCAATAAAATAAATAAATAAATAAATAAATAAATAATGAGGAATATTAATAACCAAGGTGCCATCATTCAGACATTCATAGAACTTGGAATCTGCAATGTATTTCAAGAAAGATATTTCAGCAAATCATAAAAAATGTTGGAATGCTAATCTAAGCACAAGCATTCTTTTTATCCAGATTCCCAAATGTTTGTATCTCCAAGTCCCTATGATCTATTTACTCTCCTATCTACTTTTATATCACGCAACATTACCATTAATATTCTGCTAATCCAACCCAATAGAGAATATTTGGTCGACGTGAGGGCCAACCCAACTGGTTATAAGTTTATTGTTCCTATGATCAAGTGATATAGCCAGAAAGCTGAATGGAATGCCAAGAGATTCCAGAATATGGTAATCATTCATATGCTTACTTACCTGGCTATCTAAATAGGCATAAACCAGCTTGACCCTGCCATACATGTGCACATCTTTGATGATTCCTCCATAGAAAGGAGTAGCAATCAGGAACGCTTCTGAAATAAAAAGAATAAAGCAATAACCTACTGCTGCTACTGGCATTCCTTATATTACTGAGGATCAGTTCTATTATTTATAAGATTTGATATATACAGTATGTCTATGGCGATACTCAGTCATCCAGGTCATAGTTGACTTCTTCAACTCTTGGATGAGAAGTGAAACGTCTTCAAAGAAAAACCAGAAAATCCAGTTGCCTCTTGAAAAAGCACCTTTGGGACTTCGAACTATATGTTAATTTAGTTAATTTTGATTTTGTAGTCTGCAGTTCTGATGGGTTTTAATGTCATTTCCACACCTCAAAGACACAATGTACATCCGTCAATGGAATGGAAAAGGATTTTTTTTAATTAAAAAACTACTTGAGAATTCAGTCAAATTAACAATAGTTTTTAAAGAGCTAAGACAGGGCAAGCAATTTTATTTTCAGCTGGAAAAGTACAAGTTAGGTGGTTTTATTGGAAAAGCTTTGGAGATGATGGGAAGATGATGGCTGCCTAGTTTGCCCATCCCTGTAAAATGAAGTCTTACCCAGCTTCCCGAGAAAAATTGTGTCAACTGTAATTCCCATCACACTCCATCATCACGGGCATTAGCTTGTGGAATGCTATGCTAGGGCAATTCAAGCAAGATACTGGACTAAAATCCACACATGGTTGGAAAAAAACCAGAGATTTTTTTATTAGGGATTGTACCAGAAATATACAATAGAGAATTGAGATATCTGATTGTGAATGTATTAACAGTGGCTAGAATTGTGTTTGCTAAAAACTGGAAAAATGAGAAAATACCAACGCAAGATGAAGTTATTAAGAAAATAATAGAATGTGCTGAAATGAGCAAATTGACATTTGAAATTAGAGAACAAGAAGATAAACAATATTATAAGATATGGGATCTATTTTATCAATGGCTAGATAAAAAAACATGGAAATGAAATATGGTTGAGACCAGGCATTGGTCTTATCTTGAAGGCCAAATTTCTTGATAGTTGTGTCATCGTCCAGATGTGGGCTGCTTCAGTCGAATCTGTTGCTGGCTGAGCCATAGTTTTTTTGACCACGCCCCTTGCTCCTCCCTTTGGGGTCCAGTTTGGTGAAGAAGGCCACAGGAAAGATCTCCAACAGGAACCACCATAATCAGAAATAGAAACTGGTCCAACGGGACAACTGGAAAATAAACTCTTTTAACATTAACGAAACAAACTGTACAGGCCCTGAGACAGAAGGAAGGGCTGGACGATGACACAACTATCAATAAATTTGGCCTTCAAGGTAAGACCAATGCCTAATTTCCTTGATCCAGTTGTGTCATTGTCCAAAGTTTTGGCAGTCCTAAGGGCGGGATGACGAAGGGCCTGGTGAGATCCCTGTCCGGTGCACCTGTTGCAAAACCTTCCTGCCAAATGCCGCTTCCGCAGAAACAAAGACATCTAACTTGTAACCCCCTTGTCTAATAAATGGCAAGGGGGTGGACCAGGTGGCCGCCCTGCAGACCTCCTCGAGGGAAGCCTGAGTTGCCCAGGCTGCCGATGTAGTTGCACTCTGGGTGGAGTGAGCAGTAATTTGACTAGGAATAGGAACCACCTGGGCCTGATATGCGGAGGCAATACATGCTCTGATCCAACGACCAACCGTTGCAGAGGAAACCTTATTCCCTAAGGAACTTGGCAAGAAGGAGACAAACAAAGCCTCGGATTTTCTGAAAGGGGCAGTTTGTGTAATGTATATTTTTAGAGCCCTCCGCACATCTAAGGTGTGCCACCTCCTTTCCAAGCTATGGGAAGGTCTAGGACAAAAATTGGGAAGAATAATGTCCTGAGTCCTATGAAAGAGTAAATTAACTTTGGGAATAAAAGAGGGATCCAGTCTTAAGACGACAGTGTGAGATCTGAAAATGCAGAGATCTTCTCTAACAGAGAGAGCTGCCAGCTCTGAAATACAGCAAGCTGAAGTTATGGCCACTAAGAATGCTACCTTAAGGGTGAGGAAACGAAGGTGGACCGTGCGGAGGGGCTCGAAGGGAGATGCCATCAAGGCATCAAGAACTCTGGGTAAATCCCAAGTGGGATACCTATGAATCGAGGAAGGCGGTAAGAGCCTGACACCTCTCAGAAATTTTCTAATAACGGGGTGGTGAGTGAGTGGCTGTTCAGAGGGCCTGGATAAGGCCGTAGACAGTGCCACCACATGCCTTCTAAGGGTGCTGTGGGCCAGACTGCGGTCCAAGCCATCCTGCAGGAATTCTAGGACCTGTGGAGGGGAGGCTAAAAGAGGATTGACCTGGTGGGATCTACACCATCTTACAAAGGCTACCCAGGTGATATTGTAAAGCCTAACCGTGGACCTGCGTCTACAAGCCTGTACAGTAGGAATCACCCTATCTGAATACATGTCCCGCTTTAGGAGGGCCCTTTCAAGTGCCAAGCAGTCAGTTGGAGCCACTGAGGTTCTGGATGGATCAAGACTCCCTGCCGCAGGACGATCTGGTCTGATGGAATCCTCCAATGGTGTGATATGGAGAGAGTGACCAGATCCGCAAACCACAGGTGCCGTGGCCAGTGTGAAGCTATCAGGATTATTTCCGCCCTGTTGGCAACCACCTTCCGAAGCAGAGCTTGGATCAGAGGCAGAGATGGGAAGGCATAGTGAAGATCGGGAGGCCATGTGAGTCGGAGAACACTGATCCCTTCCGCTCCCGGAGTCGGGAACTTTGAAAAGAAGCGAGGAAGTTGAGTGTTCAGTTTCGTTGCGAAGAGGTCTATGTGCGGAAACCCAAACCTGTTGCATATCGCTTGGAAAATGTCTGGATGTAGCTGCCACTCGACATTGTCTATCTGGGTCCTGCTGAGGAAATCTGCTTGGATGTTCTCCGTCCCTGCTATGTGATCTGCTCGGATGGAGAGGAGATGTTGTTCGGCCCACTTGCCTAGACGAAAGGCTTCCTCCATGAGACGTCTCGAGCAAGTCCGCCCTTGACGATTGCCATGTGCTTTTGCAGCTATGTTGTCTGTCAGCACCAGAACATGATGGTTTTGAACAAACTGTTGAAATTGTGTGAGAGTCAGGTGGATGGCCTTCAGTTCTAGCCAATTTATGGGGTTGGTCAGGTCTGATGGAGACCAACGACCCTGAGCCACATGCGATTCTAGATGCGCTCCCCAGCCATGGAGACTGGCGTCTGTCATGAGGGTGATCCTGTTTTGGTCCATGAAAAGACATCCCTTGTCTAGAGAAGGCAATGTCCACCAGTGTAGTGATCGCCTGACTGATAGTGGGACTCTGATAGTGGCCATGGTGTTAGCTTGTCGCTTCCGTTGGAAAGGCAGTAGAAACCACTGCAAGTGTTGGGCGTGAAGGCGTGCCCAGGGGACGATCTGAATGCAGGAGATCATTTTGCCTAGAAGTTTTGACAAGGTGGCCAATGGAACAGAAGGGTTTTTGTGAATGTGAGCTATCATGTCTTTGATGTCGGCTCGACGTTCCAAGGACAGGTAGACTGCGCCTTGATGTGTATCTATAATGGCACTGAGGTGGACGAGTCTGTGGACTGGTACTAATTGGCTCTTCTTGTAGTTGACTAGGAAACTGGGTTCGTTCAAGGTTCGAATTGTGATGTTTAGATCATGTAAGGCTTGGTCGTGAGAGGGAGCTAGAATCAAAATATCGTCCAGGTAAGCCTGGAGCCTTACCGGTTGTTGCCTCAGGTGAGTTGGTACTACTGCCAGTACCTTTGTGAAGACCCTCGGTGCCGACGCCGTCCGAAGGGAAGGGCCCAGTACTGTAGATGTTTTCCTGCGTAGCTAAAGCAGAGATATTGCCGATGCTTTGGCAGTATGGGAATGTGAAGGTAGGCCTCCGTGAGATCTATGGAAACTAGAAAGTCTTTGGGACAAATCCCCTGAAGAATAGAGGTTAGTGAACACATTTTGAATCTGCGATACACTATGTAAGAATTGAGAGACTGTAAATCTAGTATTGCCCTCTACCCCCCCCCCCGACCGTTTCGGAACCACAAACAGGATAGAATAAAATCCTTGCTTCCATTCGCTTTGAGGGACCTCCTCTATGGCGTGTATATGCAGGAGATGCTGAACAGCTTGGTCCATCAGGAGGTGTCTGGACTCGCTGCTGTAAGGTGGGCATTGGATAAACGGGTCGGAGGTGTGGAGAGAAATTCCAGGGGGAGGCCAAATGTTACTATAGATAGGACCCAGAGATCTGGGGTAGAGGCTTTCCACCTATCTGCGAAGAGAGCCAGGCGGCCTCCAATGGGAGGATTTGGTGATGAATCACTTACGGTTGTGGGACTGGTGGTAGCCGGAGCCACGAAAAGGCTGCTTGGACTGTGTGAATTGTCTGCCCCATCCCAAAAGGACTGACGGTCCGAAGACCGACTTAATCCCTGAGGGAAACCCTGTTGGAAGGTATTTCCATGGTAATAAGGACGAAAGGATGCCCTCCTGTAATAAGGAGAAGATCGTCTGTCAACACGCGTAGATGTTGAACGTAGAACCTTACGCTTGTCCCGTGTTTCAATAAGAAGAGGCTCAAGTGACTGACCAAATAATTTCACTGCAGAATATGGAGCTGCAGCCAAACGCCATTTGGCCCGAAGATCTGCTAGCCACTGACGGAGCCAGATCATCCTGCGGGCTGATACAGTAGAGGCTAGGGCTCTAGAGGCGAATTTGACCAAATTTAGAGTGGCATCAGCTGAGAATTGAGTAGCAGCTATGATTTTATTAATATCCTGATGGAGGCGAACCTCACTAGGGGGCACTCTTGCTTGCAATTGCTGAAGCCAAAGGATGGTTGATCGGCTGAAAAAGGAGGCTGAGGCAGCTGATTAAATTGCCCATGCTGCAGCCTGGTGATTCTTCTTGCACAGGAAGTCTAATTTTTTATCCTCTGGTCGTAGACCCTTGGAAGTATCCCGTCACATATGAGGAGGGAGACGAAAGAGCTGCTACAGGGCTGTCCACTGGGGGGACTTGCAACAGTTGAGCAAATTTGGGTGCAACCGTATAATATTTCCTATCTTGGGCAAGGGCAGAGGCCATGGTTGCAGGGCTAGACCATTGTTTCTTAACCACGTCTGTGAATAATTGAGGGATTGGAACAAAGAATTGTTCAGAAGTAGGTTCAGAAAAAAGTCCTTTTTCATGACCCTGCTATCTTCTTGCATTTCCTTAATGTAATCATCATTGTCTAGAGCTGCAGTAATGCGTGCCTTATGTAACAGAGACTTAAATTTGTTTGGAGGAAATAAACCTGTAAAGGCAGGTTGATCTTGAATTACGCCCTTATCATCTGATAAATCAGAATGGTGATCCATCTCCAATGCAAAAGATTCACTAGCCCTAGAAGCTGTAGGGGAATGAGAGCCAGTAAGGATAACTGCAGGAGAGACTCTAGCATGAGTGGAATGCTCAGAAATTATTGAGCCAGAATGATGTCTCTTATAGGCATTGAGAAGCAATGGCCCGATCAATTAAGATCTTTAAGATTTCAGGCAGATTTTTAAAAGGGTCCTCTGGGGTCTGATCTTGCAAGGGCAACTCCCTTGCAGCCTGAGCTGGTGTCACATTTCTGCCAGAATCAGAAGCCGGAGAAATTATTTGACTTGCAAATGGATTTTGCAGAGTGCCCTGTTCTTCCTGTATAAGAACCCCACTCTCACCTTCTGAAGATCAAGCCTGGTGAACTTCAACAACAGGGAGGGGGGGAGCTTATGCCTCCATTGCAAGTCTTTTTCTTCTGCTTTAGAAGAGTGCTTGCGTTTGAAATCTGCTTTTTTTCCTGGAGACATGGTATTTCCCTCCCCTTGGGAAGAACGCTCTGCCATTGCAATAGTATACTCACTGAGACCAAGATGTCAACTGTAAAGATTTAGTTTCACTTTCGCCACGTGGTAAGATAAACAAAAGCAGAGGTTTTGGCATTTGCTCACTGGCTGCCAGGTAACACATGAGCAGAATATATGTTGCTCTAGAGGTGACTGTCTAGGAGAACCTAGAAACAGCCCGTTAAACGCCTTTACAGCCACAAAAATCCCAGGCTGTAATATTGCCACATGGAGAGTGTAAGGAAACCTTACAGCTCTCCTGTATAAGCTCCGTTGGTGGTATAGGAGGATTGAGGCTCAAAACGTTGAAAAAAGCCTCCTATGGACTCGTTGGTGGCAAAGCGGCAATAATATGCTCTCCGAAGTGCCGCAGCGCTTCAAAGGACCGCCCTACAGCTGATTAGCGGTTCCGGAGCTGAGGGCAGTGGCGGCGGCTGATTTTAGCGATTCTGGGGTTTTCCCCAGAAATTCGCTATAAACGTTGGTGATAAAATGGTTTAAACCCCCTGCGCTGTCGTTGGTGGCATAGAGTTAAAAAAACCCCACCAAAGGAAAACAGTTTTAAAAAGACGTGCAAAAGAGGCTTCCAAAATGGCCACCGCCTGGAGCTATTGAAAGCCTGATAGAACAGGCTGCTCCAATACAAGGTATACCGGTAGGCTACAAAAATTCAAAAAAAAAATTGAACTAGCATAGTAGACCGGTACCCTTGGGAAAAATACAAGAAAAATTTAAACAGTAAAATAAAAGAAAGAAATAAGAAAATAAAAAGTCAAAAAAACTTACAATTTAAATGCAATCGAACAGACCTGGGCTGAGAGCCAGATCTGTAGGAGATGTTGCTCTCAGGCCGATTGAGCCTAAACTGGACCCCAAAGAGAGCAGCAAGGGGCGTGGTCAAAAAAAACTATGGCTCAGCCAGCAACAGATCCGACTGAAGCAGCCCACATCTGGACGATGACACAACTGGATCAAAGAAATCTTTATAATACAAGAACTGTAGAAAGATATAATATACAATATAAAGATGTATGATTATTGGATCGATCTAGGATGAGGAAATGAATGATATAATATAAATTAACTTAAATTTGAAAATATTTTCTATGAAATGAGGGAAGAAATAGCCATAGTTAAATAAATGATTAATGAGGATAATAATACAAAGATATATATATGATTGATAATATGAGAAATTAGATAATCAGTAAGTTATGAATATGGTGAAGATGCACAAAAGACTTGTAACCAACCAACACACTTTGTAATTATAAATGATGATGGATTTATGTTTTATGTTTTGTTTTTTTTTAAAAAAAATTCCAAAAAAAAAAAAACCCAAGCTCTGGAGGACTGCCCAGAGCCCTCCTGAGCTCTGTTTTTGCTGGCAGAGAGTTGCAGGAGGCCATTGCAGCTGAAAATGGAGCTCAGGAGCCTGTTTTCGCTGGCAGAGCGCTTGGGCCACCACAGGTACCCCCGACATGAGTGACGTCGAGCTGACCATGCCCAACCTGGCCCCCTGAGGTCAAACTCAACCCTGATGCGGGCCTCAAAGAAATTGTGTTTGACACCCCTGATATACAGTAACAGTGTTTATGGAATAAACTGTCATAATCAAGCAGGTTAAAAAAAAACTTTAATGTACCAACGACGGCAACTAATTAATCAAAAGCCTTCTCCAGATCCACCCTGATGAATGTGAGTTATTTAGTACAGGCATTCTGTACTATGTTAGTACAGAACATATGTTCTGTATCACATGTACACACATGTTCACCCATGAAACCTAAACAATTTCATTCCTCTTCTGCAAAAATTCCTGCTTTGCTACCATCTAACAAATTTGTATTTTAAATTGCTCCAGCTCACTTACCTCCTGAATCACACAGAACGTTAGCTAAAGTAGAAAACAAAGATCCACAGCCATTCTGCAGAATCACCTAGAGAAAAGATATTCAGACAGATATTATTTTCTAGAGAGACTATTCTTTCCAATAAGATTTCTAGCACCAAGGATTATCCATTCTCTTCTTTCTCTACCATAACCCCCTCTTATCCCAAAACTGCTTTTTGAAAAGGCAACCGGACTTTGTTTTTACTTGAAGATGTTTCACTTCTCATCCAAGAAGCTTCTTGATGTCAGAATTGAAAAAGCTTCTTGGATGAGAAGCGAAACATCTTCAAGGAAAAACAAAGTCCGGCTGCTTTTTGAAAAAAAGCACCTTAGGGACAACCATGATCTGGATGACTGAAAATCTCCATAGATGCTCTTATCCTGGTTTATTTGATCTGGTTGAGGAGGAACAAATAAGGAGTGACAACTGAACTCTTCTGTGGTAGTGTTACCAGCCCTCCTAGGGTTCCCTTAACCACTGGGCAGCAGGTATTCCACTGGGTGCTGAGAATTGCACAGCACCATCTTGATGTCACGTTGGTAGGTGGAGAGCAATATAAATATGTTAAATAAACAAATAAATAAACTTGAAGGATAGTCCTTCTTTCCCATAAAGTTTTCTACTACGAATTTGTGATTCACTTCAGAGTACATCCATGGATAGACAAAGGTCACTCTGTAGCACAACAAAGGAGAATAAACCCATCAGGACAGGATTTTGTATCTGAAAGACACTCTGCATTGTACTGCAGAGCGCATATTCCTCTCATTCTAAGCTAAATTATCAAATGAACTGATGTCCCCTAGCACGTAGGCAAGTAGCGGTCTCAAGAAAGGAAACCACCTCCTGAGGCTCAGACTTCTGAGGCTACAGCAACTCCTCCTATTTGTGTCTCAAAGATGCTTTTCCAAAAGGCAACTGGATTTTCTTGGGGTTTTTTTTCCCCCTTGAAAACATTTCACTTCTCATCCAAAAGCTTCTTCAGTTCTAACTGAACGGTGGGGAATGTAAAGATTTATATATTTGCAGTCATCTGGTTGTTAGCATTCTGAGAGTTGGCCATTAGCTCTCTGAGAGTTGTTGAGGTCACTTGAGGGTTTATCCTCAGAGTCACCTCTGAATCAGAGTACAAATGAGTGTGGAACCTTCTTGGGACTGCTGAAAGGACTCTGTTGTAAACAGGAGATAGGTGGTGTTGTATTCTTCCCTCTCTGTTGAAACAGGGCTGTTCGCTTTTAACATAGATGGCTTCTTTGACCCCTCTTTCAATCCAGTGGTTCTATCTGTCCAGAATGTGAACTTTGCTGTCTTCAAAAAAGTGACCTTTGTCTTTCAGATGCAGATGAACTGCTGAATCCTGTCCTGATGGACTTGTTTTCCTCTGTTATGCCATGTGTTTGTGAAGTGTACTAGCCTTGGTAGTACAGTGGTACTAATACAGTGGTTTAAAGCACCCTGTTATTAACACAGCTGCCTGCAATTACTGCAGGTTCGAATCTTACCAGGCTCAAGGTTGACTCAGCCTTCCATCCTTTCTAAGGTAGGTAAATTGAGGACCCAGATTGTGGGGGCAATAAGCTGACTTTGTATAAATATACAAAAGTATGAAGGCTATTGCTTAACGCATTGTAAGCCGCCTGAGTCTCCGGAGAAGGGCGGCATATAAATCAAATTTTAAAAAAAAAAGTGCTTGGCTTGTTTCCCCAATTATAGATCTGAACATATCTCGCTGCATTGCACTGCTTATACCACATTGCTCAGTTTGTGTCTGGCTATTTTATCTTTGGGGTGGATGAGCTGCTGCCTTAATGTATTCTTGGGTTTAAAGTGTGCACATATGTTGTGTTGGCAGCTCCTCACTCAAGAATACATTAAGCTTGTCCACCCCAAGGAAAAAAAACATTTATTTTCTTTTTGCATTGCTACAATAGATACATGTGTTGAGAAATTGGGAGGGCAGGGATGAGAGATTAGAAAACCTGTGACACAAAAGTATACTTTCTGCTGTCTTTATCACTCTGCAACTTCTTTTCCTAGTACCATCCACTTGCTTTCTACACACTCCTAACATAGTTCTTGACTTATAACCATAGTTGATGCCAGAATTATGGTCAGAAATTGTGCTGGTTGTTAAGTGGGTCATCATATTACCAATCCAATTTTACGATATCTTTTTGCAGCAAATTTTATGCAAATGCAGCAACCGTAAAGTAAAGCCACGGTTATTAAGCAAACACTGTGGTCATTAAGCAACCCCATTGTTCACAATGGACATTTTTGCTGGAAACTGGAACATTGTAAATCGCAGCCATGTGATCGCAGCACACTGCAAACGGCCATAAATGTGGGCCAGCTGCCAAATATCCAAAATGCAATACCATGACCATGGGGGTGGATGTCAGAATTCAAATCTGGTTTGTAAATACTTTTTGGTGGGTCTTTTTGAACAGTTGCTAAATGACATTCATTTATTCTTTAGTCAGAACCTTGACAGACCGGTTGTTAAGCAAGGAGTACCCTGAAGACTTTCTGACACATAATGGTAGTCACTTGCAGGGAGAAAAAAAAAAAATCAGACAAACCCCAAAGTAGGTTGACTTACATTTTCTGTTTTGAGAGGTGCAGGGGCTTTGCTGTAATAGGTCAAAAATCGAGCCACTTCTTCTCGTACACTGAAGAAGATACAAAAGCAATTAGAGTTTTCCAAATGGTATCTTCATTCCTCTCTAGGCTGTATCATGGAAAACACAGATTCAGACTTTCTGACAAAAGAGGGTGAAGATTCATGACCAAGGCTACTTACAACATATGGCCCTTCCAATCAGGGTACTGCAGCAGGGAAGGATCTGTGAGGTTCGTGGCACTTTGGGTCAGCTATCAGCAATGAGAAGGAGAGGACAAAATTATTACGCATATTGCCAGGAAACGGTCTGGAAATTAGCAAGTAAAAGCTATGAAGGTTGATAATTTCCTTCTTCACTTGGAAGGTATCTTGCAAATGAACCACACACAGTGAAGTTGGGTATGCACATTGTGAGTCCTTTCTTTTTGGTTTAGTTGGATGAACTCAATCAAGAGTTGCTTGTCTAAGAAACTACAAGTGTACAACCCATGACTTTGAATAGTATGAAATAGGCCTATGTTTTTATTGAGTGATTTAGTTCACTATTATTTAGTAATTTTCACAAAATATGTATAAAACGCATACATATACTGTGCTTAAACTGCATTGCCATCAATTTAAAAGAAAGCAGTGGCTTTGCTTCCTATCACAACCTACCAGATTTTGGCTACTGCTCCCCTCTCCTCTTATTCCATAAAAGACCTGGGATAGGGAATAAGGCAGGGGTGAAATCCAGCAAGTTCTGATAGGTTCTGGAGAACCGGTAGCAGGAATTTTGAGCAGTTCGGAGAAGCGGTAGTGGAAATTTTGAGTAGTTCAGAGAACCAGCAAATACCACCTCTGGCTGGCCCCAGAATGGGATGTGAATGGAGATTTTGCAATATCCTTCTTCCAGGAGTGGGGAGGAAATGGAGATTTTGCAGTATCCTTCCCCTGGAGTGGGGTGGGAATGAAGATTTTGCAGTATCCTTCCCCTGCCACGCCCACCAAGCCACACCATGCCCACCAAGCCACGCCCACAGAACTGGTAGTAAAAAAATGTGGATTTCACCACTGGAATAAGGGACTAAAAGTATTTATCCATTTAACATGAAACCATTTGGCTGAGGTTCATGGATTAAAAACTAGATTGGTATTGTAATTCATGTATTAGTGACCCAACAAATCTCCCTAAACAGATTTCTCAAATGCCCACAGTCCATGATGAAGGAAGAAGCATTCGGTTATTTAGGAAGAGAACAAAGTTGGTAATAAAAATAGGTAATAAAAGAGAAAAAACAATATAAACCTTACGTGACTCATCTGGGAAATTATTTACTTTGTAAATATTATCATAAAATGACATCACCTGATGATCACTATTACTTAAGAATGATGGGTATTTACAATATTCTTACCTTTTTGGATATTAGATCAAAGCAGAGTTTGTTCTCGCTGACAGCCAAATTAATGATGCCCTGGGAATACAGATAAATGTTTCATTAAAAACAATGAAATTTGCTATCCTATTATTTGCTATCCTATTAGCTACCTCAAAATTGTGTTCTATAAAACTTTAGCATTACTAGAGCCAATAAAGATTCTGGAAAGAGGATTATGATAGAAGATACTACATATGAGTCAAGAGGTTGTTATGTTTCATTTTGTGTGGATTTTTTGTGTGCGTGTGGAAGACTTGTAAAGATATTATATTGCTGTCATTACAGAAACTTGGTGGGATGAAACCCACAAATGGAACATACAGCTAGAGGGATTTAAATTATTTATAAGAAATAGACCAAATAAAAGAGGAGGTGGAATTGCACTATATATAAGAAATTAACTACATCTCTACAGAAATAGAGCACAACAATGACAAAAATTATCTTGAATGCATTTGGGTCAATATTAAAGGGAGGGGGGGTGACATTGCCATAGGTCTCTACTATAGGCCATCCAACCAAACAGAGAAAATAGATGAACTTTTTGGAAGTCAGTTAACTAAAGTATGTAGCAAACACATCACAATAGTAATGACATCAATTGAGAGACAAACTCTGCACAAAGTGGAAGATCCAACAGGTTCCTAACAAACTTAGCAGACAACTTTGTTTCCCAAAAAGTAGAGAAGGGAACAAGGGGATCAGCCATATTGGACTTAATTCTCACTAACAGATATGAAATGATAGAAGGTATTGAAGCTACAGGAACCTGGGGGTGAGGCAGTGATCAAGCAATATTGGAATTCAACATTATGCAAGCACAAGCAATAGAACAAAGTCAAACTAGAGTCTTGGACTTTAAGAGAGCTAATTTCAATAAACTTAGAGAAAGCTTGGGAAGGTTCCATGGATGAGAATCCTCAAGGGGAGAACAACTCAAGAAGCTTGGGAAATTTTGAAAAGTGAGATTATAAAAGCCCAGTCTAGCACAATACCAGTGAAGAAGAAAAATAACAGCTCTCAAAAGAAATCAGAATGGCTGCATAAAGAACCTTCTGACAAATTGCAAGACAAAAAGGACAAGTATAAAAAGTGGAAAGAGGGGCACAAAACTAAGGCAGAATATCAGCAAATAGCCTGAGCCTACAAAGATGAAGTGAGGAAATGAACAAAGGATTGTGACAAAAGTAAAAAATAACAAAAAAAAAGCTTCTTCCAACATGTTAAAAACAAGAAAAAAAAATCAAGGAAACAATTGGCTGGGAGAAAGTGGCAAGAATGTGACAAGCAACAGGGAGAAAGCAGAACTACTTAACTAGTTTTTTGCATCTGTCTTTACACGAAGGAAAAAAATAATTCAACCTATCAAAAACAGCACCACAAAAAACAGATTAGGAACACAAGTTAAAATAGGGAAGAAAATGGTAAGTGAGCACCTGTCTACACTAGACAAGTTCAAATCACCAGGACCAGATGGATTATACCCCAAGGTTCTGAAGAAACTGGCAGACGAGTTCTCAGAACCACTGAACTATATCTTTCAAAGAACCTGGGGCACCAGGGAACTGCCAGAGGACTGGAAAAGAGCTGATATAGTTCTCATCTTCAAAAAAGGAAAAAAAATAGATCCAGGAAACTACAGACCTATCAGCCTGACCTCAATACCAGGGAAGATTCTGGAAAAGATAATCAAGCAACGAATCAGCGAATACCTAGAAACAAAGTAATAACCAAAAGCCAACATGGGTTTGTCAAAAACAGATCATGCCAGACTAATCTTATTGTATTCTTTGACAAAGTGACAAAATTAGTGGACCAGAGGAATGCTGTCAATATAATTTCCTTGGACTTCAGTAAGGCATTTGATAAAGTAGACCATAACCTACTACTTGATAAAATAGAAAAATGTGGATTAGACAGCATCACCACCAGATGGATTCATAACTGGCTGACCAACCGCACTCAATGTGTACTCCTCAATGGAACTGCATCTACATGGAGGGAAGTATGCAGTGACATACCCCAAAGCTCTGTTTTAGGCCCAGTACTCTTCAAAATCTTCATCAAAAGTCCAGTAAGCTAACTTAAATGAGCAACAGTATTTTTAAAAAACCCTAAAATTAATGGCTAAGAGAGGGTTTGAATCCAAACCAAATCAGTTCAACAGTTCAGCTATATTACACAGTCTATACTGATTGCTATGGGAGAATGAACTAAAAGATTAGCATTCTTGTAATGGGCTTCTTAGCTAAAAAAAATGTAATTAGGTTGGTTTTTTTTTAAAAAAACTCACATTTTGAATGAAGTTTGAAATGAAGATAGCTATTTGAGGTTTATATAATATAAAAACATCATGCTGATTAGAGCTAGCATAGCTGGTTTTATTGATGGATAGTAGTATTAATGCTGCTTCCATTTGGATGCCCTGCTGTTTTAATGTTTATCATCGGAGCAAAGCGTGTCTTTTTACAGTAAGCAGCTCTGGAAGTTCTTTAGGATGGAAGAGTCACGTATTAAGCATGTAAAATAAAAGTTAATCTGCAGAAAACTCTACTAATGTTGCTTTGGAGAAAAAGCTAAGAACTACTGTGAAAATCACTATAGAATCTACACTGACCCTAGTTTTTAAATTTGGCAGAAGGATAAAACTCACTATAATCAGTGTTAAGAACGTAATGTCAGCAATGAAGGGTGAAATGGAACAAAAAATTCTAAACCATCATAAAAATAGGTATTTCTGGCAAATTATTTTGTTTACAGACGGGGAATGTATGGTCCTGCAAATGCTACTATACTAAAATTCTCAACATCTCAGAAAGCATGTCCATATTAATAGATACTGGGAGCTATAATTGAGAAATCTCTGGTGTCCCAACTTTCAACTAACTTAAGCTAACAGGTCATAGTCTAGCTTGGGTCTGGATGGGAAACTACCTGAAAATCTACCTTGAATCCATTGATGAAAATGAAATAGAACATAACCGCTCTTCTTTGATTTAAAATATTTAGCCATCTATGTAAATCATCTGCACTACAAATTTAGAAGCACATGCCAAGTAAAGTACTGTATTTTTCAGAGTATAAGACATACCTTTCCCCCCCAAAAAAGAGGGTGAAAATCTGGGTGCGTCTTATACTCCAAATGTAGCCTCGCCCAGCTTCTCAAACGGAGGCTGAAAAAAGCATCAGAAAAGAAGCTTCAGAAAAGAAGCCCCCAAACAGAGCTTCAGTGGCTTTTTTTCTGAAGCTCAGTTTTGGAGGTAGGATTTTTTTTTTTCTGAAACAGTTTCAGAAGTTTCAGAGGCAGAAAAAAAAGCAAAAAAAAAAAAAGGCACAGAGCTCACAACCAAGGAACCTGTTGCTAAAATTCACCTCTGGGAATAGCTGATTGGGGGTATTCCTGGAGGCCAATCCACCTGCCAATCAGCTTTTTTCTTATTTTCCTCCCCAAAAACTAAGGTGTGTCTTATACTCTGAAAAATATGGTACTCAGGGTCACTCTCTCTTAAAAATAGGACCCAATCACAATGACTTTGTGTGGTTGGCATTCTTTCTTGGCATTAAAAAATAGCATTAGTCTTTATGGTTTAAAATGTTCTTATTTGCCATATTTAGGAGAATTAACTCTAAAATCAAGCCATTTTAAAATAAATAATGCAAGATCTTTTCATTTAATATTCATTTCTGCCTGATGAGGCAAGGAAATTTACATGGAAGTTATAGAGAAAATTATTAAACCATTTCACCCCTAGTGTGGCTACTGCCTAAAGTTCATCTTTTTGTTAAGTTTTTTTTTTTAAAAAAAAGTTTAGTCCAAGATAGTTGTTAACTCAATAAATAAATGTCTTGGTAGGTTTAGAGAATAGCAATTATCTTCCTTTCTGTCCTATATAATATACCAAGATAGTTCATGAATGAACAAATTTCCTTCCTTATTTCCTTCTGCATTGGACATATATTCCATAAAATGCTCTCAACATCTCAAATAAGCCTAATTCAGTCATTTAAATTCCCCACTGAAGAACTAAGACATAACATCTTTGTTAAAGCTTTTCTTTCTTGAAGAAAGAATAAATAATAGTCATTGAAAATCAGGATAAAGAATAACAGAATAACAGAGTTTGAACAGAGTCTTCTAGTCCACCCCTCTGTTCAAGCAGGAGTCTCTATGCCATTCCAGTTAAATGGTTGTCCAATCTCTTCTTAAAAACCTCCAGTGATGGAGCTTATTTAGAGACAAGTAACGACAAGACTTTTTACTCACACTGGGGTTTTTGTCCTCATCATACTTGTCATCATGGTAGAGCTGGTACACCTCCTCTGAGAACATCGAAGCAACAGCCATATTACCTCGGACAGAGAGGTAAGAGCTGTTTTGAAAATCAGCATGGTGGCAGGAATGCAACCCCTTAGTTGCGCTATCCAATCTGGTTTGCCCTAACTGGAGGGCCTTGGCTTCTTCTGACAGCCGTTCTCCTATTTCTGTGGAATTGGAGAATGTTTGGTGAAGGTCTACATTTGAAGCTACTCCAGTTGCACAAGAGCCCTGATTGCCCTGCTTTAAGACGTTCAGCATTTGGGCAAAGACATTGAACATACGGAAGTCATGATCCCGTTCCAATTCAAAGCGTCGCTGCTCCAGTTGGATTCGGCGCTCCTCCACTTCCACATCTCGCTGAAGGCGGCGTTCCTCCATCTGCAGAAAGCGCTCCTCCATTTCCCGCTGGGCGGTTAAAGTCTTCAACAGCAGGGCATCCATAGGATCTTTTAACCGCTGGCCTTTCCTTTTCTTCCTCAAGCGGTGCAAAGTAGAAAAACCAGGCCATGCCCCTAGACTTTGGATCCGGGATGAAGAAACTGCATTAGGTTCCCTGAAACCTAAGAGTAAGCAGATTAAGAATAAATAACCCTAACAATTCTTTTTTTGTGCAAAGGTCAAAGTTGCTTAAATGATTATCTGCTATCGTCTTTTAATCTGACTCCTGACAAACTGAGTAAATGAGTTACATTTCAGTTTACATGAGTTGCATACAACAAAGAATATTGAGCAATGCACATTTTTCTTTATATAATAGATAATGTATGTTACACAGACACAAGAATGCAGCTGAATCCCCAGTGTACTATATTATAAAGTATATAATATTTTATAGTAGCTGGCTTTGCTGAATACACTAAACAATAAATGAGAAAAAAAATCCCATTTTGGCTTAGGGTATAATGCAAATCTAGCCATCATCCCATCCAGCATTTCTCCTTAGACCAAGGCTATTGTACAGTTCCACATTAATTCAATAGGCAAAATGGCTACATGCAAAAGTTGAGAGATATCCTAGTCTTACCAAACCTCCAGTCATAATTATAAGTGGTTCCAAGTAAAGGATTAGGGTCTGATAACAGTTTATTCATAAGGGTTTATTAAAAATAAATCTAAGCTAATTCATCTGCTTCAGCTAAATAACTTCCATCACCACATGGGAGTTCATCCTATAGATTACTTCATTAAAGTTTTTCTTCCAGCTTCATTTACATTTTCTGCTGAAATGGGGGGTAGAGCCCAATGTATAGTTATGTCTGAATGTGTTACTCTGGATATACTGCACAGAAGCACACTGCCCATCATTCCCTCTATACATCTGACTGAATATAAAAAAACAGCATATTGTATGAGGAAGGGGGGAGGTTTCTAGCTCCTGTGAACATTTTATAGTATACAGTCCAGTTTGTGAGGTCTCAGTGACAGCACTGTTTTTATTTTTGATGTCTTATGTTATATCTATCTATATCTATATGTCTATCTATCTATCTATCTATCTATCTATCTATCTATCTATCTATCTATCACTATATATATATTGATACAGTTCAGGTTATAAACATTTTAATAAAGTTAATCAATTAAAAAGTTTGTTTACTGCTAAACAAGTATGCTAATATGATCGGCTGAATCTGTATTGCCACATATATTTCTACAGAATATAAGTGCCAGTAACAAAACAAAACAAAAAACTTAAAGAAGCACTGAGAATTGTTTGCTTTCTCCATTAAAATCTCTGCTATCATAAGCTATTATATAGAAACACAGAGAGAATCCTAGATTATACCCTGGTTAAAGTATTTTGAGACCTCAGAAAGATACAGGTGATTTCCTAAGACACTGTCAAATGGACAGTTCTATTTGAAATATCTGTCATCTACAAGATTCTAAGACCCAATGACTTCTGAGAGACCAAAACTGATGAAAAAGACAATATTTGCCAAGTAATCATCTTCTTTTATGAATCCCAGTGTTTTGCTCCCAACCAAAAATAGTCCATTTCTTAAATTATTCCATCACCAATCAATCATACACTGAGATTGCTAAAAGAAAGTTTCCAAGAATGCTGTTTCCTCTTGGCCTAAAAATAATAACAGAACTTCACCAATCCATAGTCAAAGGTATTACTACAAGTTTCTTCTGCTTTAACAAACCTGTTCAGGTGATCTTGTGGTCCTGGAAAAAATGAATGGAGAGAACAATAGCAGAAACTCACTTTGTGACTGCTTATGAAGACTTGAAGGTGTTTAAGTAACTAACTAGTGTATATTTGCTTGGTGGAGTTTAAACCTTCAGGGTACTTTTGACTTGTAATCAGAACTAATTGGTCTTTATGAGATCCAAAGCCATTTACTTCTGTCCTGAATTCATTTAAACCTGTTTTAAATATTGTCTGTCATGGGGTTAAAGCTACTGTTTGTACATCAAACACTACAAAGATCAGTTTCCAAGCATGCTTCAGTTATGTTGATTTAAAATATTTGGATAGATTTAAAAATATAAAAAAGTTCAGGGATATTCCTTTATCCCATTGTTTTGGTAGGCAGATATTTTTCCCCTATTTTCCTCCCCAACAGTGGGTCAGAGGAGGAGCTGCTGCGGGACAGAGATGACAGTTGCACTTTAAAAATTATGATTTAAATCGAGTTTATTTAAATCAAGCCTTTTTATTAGTGATTTAAATTGTGATTTAAATCGACTTGATTTAAATCAAATCCACCCTGCTTCAGGGCACTGCTCAGTTAGCAGACCAACTTCACTTCTTGCACTGTGATCCAGTGGTGGGTTGCTACCAGTTCAGGCAAACCAGTAGCGGCAGGGCTGGGAGGCTCCGCCCACCCGCCTGGACGCTTCTGCGCATGTGCGCACACGAGCAAACCGGTAGCAAACTAAATTGAAACCCACTACTGCTGTGATCCCATTTCTCTTTTCCCCAGCATTCAATTGAAGGAGAGAACGGAAGTGAGAAATGTTCCCTAAAAATGACAGAACTTTAAGGAGGAAGTATTGGGGAGGGAAAAAAGATTAGTGGCGGGGGCAATACTGTTCCTCTCTTGGGTTTTTTGTTTTGTTTTGTTTTAGTCTTTATTGCAGGATTCTGGAAGAGAAGATTACAATTTACTGTGTGCTGTTTAACTACTTCCCAACACCCATGCTGTTTTGGCAGATGCCCATTTAACAGGATGTCCAGTTAGGTCCTGCAAAAAGATCCAGCTATTCTCCTCAGGGCAAAAGCAATTCAGGTTGCAAGAAGATAGGAAACCTGGAGAAACCTTTCATAATGACAAGCATCTCTGAGGGGAAACCCATCCAGGAGCTGTAGGGTTCCCAGCCACCCAGCGTGCTTCGAAAGAACCAGGGACTGTGGCCTCTGCTCAGCCTTTTTTCAGCAGCAGGATAAGAGGCTCTGCAGGATGGCCTGAATCGATGTGGCATTCCTACCTGAGAGGGAGACAGTGGTCTCAATGGGGATCTCCACCCTGGAGATGGGTGAGTCAGGCTGGGACCTCTCCAGGAAGGCCCTGTCTATCTCCTGCTCCTCAGCAGAGCCCCCAGGCTGGTAAGTAGTGAGAGAAGGCAGAGGCTCAGGCATCAAGCACTGGTCCTCTGAATCCACCTCCTCGCATTTGATCTCCATCTGCTCGGGGGGCTGAGAGGGTGGGAAGGTCAGCGCCGAAGAAGGGCCCAAGTGGGGATGGTAGCTCTCCACCACCCCACCCGGGAGCCCTTGCTGCGTCAACACGTAGCTGCCGTTGCCGTTGCCGGTGGCGCTGTAGACGAGCGGAGGGCGGCTGGCCAGGACGCGGTCCATCACCTCGTAGAACTTCCACGTCCTGCCCCCGCGCGGAGCCTTGTTGTTGTCCTTGATGCGACGGTACTCGAGCTTCATTTTCTTGATCTTCTCCCGGCACTGATCGCCGGTGCGGTGGATGCCCTTCTCGCGCAGCACTTCGGCGATCCGGTTGAAGACGTGCTGGTTCCGCAGGCAGCTCTCCAGCTCCGCCTGCACGGAGTCGTCAGCCCACAGTTGCAGAAGCTCCACTACCTCGGGATCCGACCAGTTAGTGCCCCGCTCGTACTTCTTGCCTCGAAAATCCATGCTTTTCCCGAGCTTCCGATCTCCCCGCCGCGCCCACCTCCCGGTTAAGGATCCAAACTCAAAGGCGCCCGAGCGGAGGCACGAAAAGCCATGAAGCGGCTATTCCCGGGACTGGAACGGGCTTGGCTCGGTTCAATTGATTGGTCCTGGGAAACCTAAGGCTTCCGTTTATTGGGAAAGGGAAAGGGTGAGAAAGATGGCCTTTTTTTTTTCCCCCTATCCCTTTTTGCAGCTCTAGAAGCCGCAGAACGGATCGGATAAATTGGCACGGCTCGGCACGGATTCCAGCTTTTTTTTTTTTTTTTTTAACAAAGCGAGATCCCGGGTAAAGCAAGCTGGGGGCGCAAGTACGCATGTTCACATCCGGTGTGATGGCACATGCGTGCTTCCTTTATTCCGGGATAACTTTGGTCCGTGTCAATCACACGATCCGCAACCCGGCCGGGCTGGGCTAAACGAGGCAGAAGCGCAAGAATGCATTGGGGCGGGGCCTGTGGAGGCCACGCCTCCGCGGGCCACCCCTTTTAAATAGCTGGAGCCAGAGGCGAGAGAACGATTTCCGCGTAAGTAGAGCGCGGGGGAGGAATTGAGGGTCCGTTGTTAACTAGCTGCAATACGTTGAACGCAGTTGGTTTAAGTCTCTGAAAGTGTAGTACAATTGCTAGAGAGGTGATATTGTTCTTTTCTTCTTCTTCTTAGAGCGACTGAACACTTTTTTTTTTTTCTTTTGGAAAAGCTCCCGTGTAGTCCTCAGGAGCTTAAAGAAAACAAGAAGATTGTATAGATGCAGTCACTGGGTGTCCAGCTCCACTTAAGGCTGTGTTTACTTTAACCTGTCCTGGCAGTGATTTAGGCAGAATATAAAGACACTGAGTGCATTATTTGGTTATCCATCGTTTAATGAATTAACCACAACTGGTTGAGTTTACAATAACTTGCAAAAAACGTAAACCAAGATTTGCAAACCCAGCGGTTGGTTTGATATAACATGCTAAGACATACACATAAGGCTTTATGTGAATTTGGGATTTGCATGTTACACTAACCATACTATGGATTATGTGGTTCAGATTAGTGTAATGTGTGATCCCTGCAGTCAATCAGAAAATATGTAAATCAAGCAGCATGGCATTTAGCACTATGCGTGAGATTAGCCAATTGTGGCTTATTCAGTAAACCATAATTTAAAATTTGTCGCTTAGTTATGCGTGAATCAGTTTTTTAAAAAATGGCTCAGGCTGATTCATGCATCATGCTAACTATGGTTTGTTTATGGATAAACCACAATTGGCTAAATTTGCTTGGCAAATACAGAATTAAAGTATTCCTGAATAGCTTCTCCAAAGAAGCTGGCTCCAAAGAAAACAGTTTTTTTCTATGGGAATACAGCTGTTTTTCAGCTACTCTATCCCACACACAGTCACATATGTACTTTAACATATTAGCAGTTCTGGTCCTTATACTGTAAATACTTTTCTACTTCTATTAGCTTGCATGGGAGACAATGCCCCTTTGCCAACTCTGATTTTTTAAAAAAGGAAATTAACTGAGGGCATGGAGTTTCATATTTTAAACTTACACATATTGTAGAATACAATAGAATTAGAATAGGAATAGAATAGAATAGTTTATTGTCACTTTGAATGTACACTAATTGGCATACATTAAAGTGAAATTTCATTGCATACAGTTCTCAAAGCATAACATGAATACAGAAAGAAAACAGCATTGTAGAGTTATTCATATATATATATATATACATACATACATACATACATACATACATAAACAAAACCAACTTAATTTATGGATTAGTGTATTATGTGAACCAAGTCAAGGGTGTTATCAACAAAACTTCAGTTGTATTCTAGTTAATAGAAATGGGTGCTTCCAAAGGACTTGGGAAATTTCCTAATCATTGGATAGGCAATTCTGCCAAGGATCTATCTGTCATTTGAAATAGGGAGGTCGCAACAAGATTGCCCCTGAACAGCCTCTTGTTCTTTGCTGATCCCAGGGAGCTCCTTAATTTATAGAAGTCTTCCAGGAGATGAAGCAATGGAAAGTAGATTTGGGGTGGAGGGAAACAAAGGGTAAATCTGGATCTGGATAAGGGGAGCACACAACTCCTTGTTCTCTTAGAGTTCTCAGCAACATTCGATTACTCCAATTATAGCATCCTATGGCCGTGGGGTCACAATGTTTCACTGGTTTTTGCTCTTTCCTGAGGGGTTGGGACAGTGGTGGAATCCAAATTTTTTTACTACCCGTTCTGTGGGCGTGGTGTGGCTTGGTGGGCATGGTAGGGGAAGGATACTGCAAAATCTCCATTCCCACCCCATTCCTGGGGGAAAGATATTGCAAAATCTCCATTCCCTCCCCATTCTGGGGCAAGCCAGAGGTGGCATTTGCTGGTTCTCCAAACTACTCAAAATTTCCACTACTGGTTCTCCAGAACCTGTCAGAACCTGCTGGATTTCACCCCTGGGTTGGGAACAATCAGTAGCAGGAAGAACAAGAGGTTAGCCATTGAGGTCCTCATTTGTGGGATCCCAAAGGATTTGATGCTCTCACCTCTCCTGTTTAATACCTATATGAAGCTGCTGGAAAAGATCGTCTTTTGGTTCAGGATGAAATACCAGTATTATCGTGATGACATTCAGCTATTCATCACCATCCTGAGTTGAGCCAGAGATACAGTGGAAGTTTTGGACAGGGGCCTGGAAACTATCCGGGTCTAGAATGGGACGATGCCAGGTTGAAATTGAACTCAAGCAAAACAGAGTTGTTGTTTGTGCAGAAAGGGTATTTTTCACTAATGATAACTTGAAGAGAGAGCGCTGCCACTATAAAGAGCAGGTCTGTGGATGGGGTAGTTCTGTTAGATTCAGGGCTGCTGCTTAAAATGCAGGTGGAGGCTCTGGATAGGTGGCTTTTCACCAGACCTTTAGCTTGCTGCGATATTCTCTTTATGGGGGTGACTATGGAGGGCACCTTGAAATCACAATTGGTCCAAAGTACAGAGATTGCATTTGGTGCAAACTCAGTTGGTAGCCTGTATATTTGTCAAAGCTGCAATAATCATGTAACACCTATGTAACTTTAAGATATATTAAAGTGCCCAGCCATGGTGGCGCAGTGGTTAGAATGCAGTACTGCAGGCTACCTCACTACTCACTCCAGGAGTTTGATCCTGACTGGCTCAAGACTGACTCAGCCTTCCAAGGTTGGTAAAATGAGGATCCAAATAGTTGGGGGCAATATGCTGACTCTGTAAACCACTTAGAGAGGGCTGAGAAGCAGTATATAAGTCTTAAGTGCTATTGCTATATTGATTATTAATAAGTTTCTGGGTGCAATTGAAAGTGATTGTCTTGACTTATTAAGCTTGGTCTTGAAATATTAATTGGACCTCCTTCTCTGTATAAAGGTGACCTGCCCAACTTGCCCAATGAGGACTTTCTACTGTCTTTTAATGTCTCCCATGCAGTGAAGGGTTGCCTCTCAAGTAATGTTTCTCTGTGGTAGACCTCATGTTGGGGAACACTTTCCCTCTCAATCTTAGATTGCAATCCTCATTTTTGGCCTTCAAGAAAAAATTAATGACAGACTTGTTCAGGAGGGCCTTTGGGGAGTAATTGGTGAATATTATACTCTGTTTCCCGTAAAATAAGACATCCCCTGATAATAAGCCCAATCGGGCTTTTGAGCGCATGCACTAAAATAAGTCCCCCTGAAAATAAGCCCTCCCTGAAAATATTTAACCGCATGCACAGTCGGTCCCTGCCATTTCCTCTGATTAGGGTTAGGGAGACAGAGCTGGAAATCAGGTAAGATTGCAAGAGGATCCCTGTCTTGCTCCTTGCGCCCCAAAATAATAAGATCTCCCCGAAAATAAGGCCAAGCGCTTATTTGGGGGTTCAAAAAAATATACGACAGGGTCTTATTTTTGGGGAAACACGGTATTTACTACTTTTCTGTCATTGTACATTGTACAATTGCACTGTTTTATATAATAAACTACCTGAAATCATGTTGGTTGTATCTTATTGGATAAATATTCCATCAAGCGGGCTTGGCCTAATCTCTTCCCTTTTTAAATATGTAAATTTTAATCTGTTTTTAAATTATTGGGGTATTTTAATTTGTCTGGGCCAAATAATTTAATTTGATTTTATCGGGTTTTTAAATTTTGTGTATTTATGTATTTTATTGTTGGCTGTTCACCGCCCTGAGTCCTTCGGGAGTAGGGCGGTATACAAATCAAATAAACTAAACTAAACTAAACTAAACACAATAAAATGTAGGCAGTCCTCAAATTACAACACTTCATCTAGTGTTGTAGTTTGAAGTTACAACGGCACTGAAAAAAGTGACTTACGATCTTTTTTCACCCTTACGACCATTGCATCATCCCCATGGTCATGTGATCAAAATTCAAATGTTTGGCAACTGACTCATATTTATGACATTTGCAGTGTCCTGGGGTCATGTGGTCACCTTTTGTGACCTTCTGACAAGCAAAGCTAATGGGGAAGTCAGATTCACTTAACAACCGTGTTACTAATTTAACATCTGCAGTTATTCACTTAACAACTGTGGCAAGAAAGGTCATAAAATGGGGCAACATTTACTTAAGAAATATTCTGCTTAGCAACAGGAATTGTGGGCTTAATTGTGGTCATAAATTGAGGATTACCTATATGGTTTTAGCACAGTTGTGTGAACCTATTCTATATTTGCTGCTGCTGCTGCTTTTTTTTTTTTTTTTTTGCAATACACAGATATTTCTCAGGAAATTCTTCAGAAGAAGAAACTAAATGGTAAAATACAAATTGTAAAGTCCAAAATACTGATTTCTAGAGGAAAGGGACCAAGCAACAAAACTGTGTTTTGTCAAGCTCCTATGCCTTGACCACAATCTGGTCAGCATGTGATTAACTAGTGCAGAAAAACAGTGTGATTATTGGATCAATCTGAAATATCAAAATCATGTGTGT